CACCATGTATTTCGTTTAACGATGCCTAATTGCAAAGATTGAATAGCAGCCCGAAGGTGCGGCGAAGCCGCATTGTTCGCAATTTACATGACAATGTGCAATTTGCGGACTACCGTAAAATTTTAATTTTTTTTCTATAGAGGCACTGGTTTTTCTATTTGTGCTATTGCAAAATACGACAGCGTTTTTGTACGCGTTTGTTTCAAATTAGAACAGAAATTTTATCAGCATCATTACGCACCGTAAAACACAACTTGCACTCTCAAATGTAAAATTTCCTCAAAAATTTGTTTTTCGAAAATATTATTTTTCATCTTAAACTTTGTTAAAACTTGGGCTAAAAAGTCCCAGAACTAGTGAAAACATGTTGTTTCGATTTTATTTTTTAACAAACATACAGGGCGATACTCCGATTTCAAAGGTGCAACTTGTTTTAAAATATACTTTAGTTTTTATTAAAACATCTTTCAAAAAATATAATAGTCACTGGGTTTCAAGTCAGAAAAATGTGGTTCAATTTTATCATCGATTTTATTGATGTGTAAGAGGGTGCGTTATGGTAATGAAACATTTTTTGCTAAATTTTACCATTTGGATAACTTTTATCATCCAAACGATATGCCAACATAAGACTTAAAATTATACCACCTGTATTTTAAAAAGTATTGGCCAAAACATTTTGTATCAAATTTGCATTTTGGTCGCTTATATCCATTATAATTTAAAATGACGTATATTGCGCTTAAACACCCTGGTGTTAGCAAAGGCAGCAGCCATCTTTCACAAAGATGTTCAGAATTTAACCACACAAATGGTTCTTCTTATAAAAGTTACTTACTTAATATACTTAAATATACTTGGTTTTTTAATCTTCTGCAACACAATGTATTCCAAATTGGATAAAATAATTAAATTGATTGTTGTATAATATTTCCTATTGATTTTGCAACATTGAATGAAAGTTGGCACATAATGCATTCTATAAAAATAACCATAAATAGTAAGTAGTTTAATCCATATTTAATTCATCCAAGAATTCCAATGTATTGGTTACAAATTACTTTGTTTATAGTTAAAAATGTACGTGTATACATTCTTTTTATTTAATAAAAAATATACAAGGTGTCCCGAAAATTTAGTTACTACTATCAAAACAATTTAGTTACTACTATTAATACACATTTTTTATTTTTTTTAATGTAAAGAGCCTTAATATAAAATTGCTTGCAAAATATATACCTACCCAAATAAGAAAAATATTGTATAAAATATGGTCTAAAAATAATATGGGGGCATTTATTTCAGGCAGAAGTAAAAAACAAAAAAATCAATAAGTTTTCAGACATAATCTTATGTTAAGTTTACAACCAACTGCAATCTGTTAACTAATTGAATAAGTAGTTTGGTATTATTACAAACATTTTGTAGATTTATTAACAAAATTTTATGTTAATAATTATTATAACTCAACCATAATTATTGTAATTTTCTAAAAGGACCCTATTCTTACCAAACTTTTTGCAGACCCAGTAACAAAAGTATTTGTTGTTGTTGTTAAATGAAAAGAATTTTGATAAGAAATGTTGTTTTATTAATTAAAAAAAATAAAACAAATAAACATAAAATTAACCCAATTTAATAACACAAAATTTTGAAAAAATCAAACTATAAAAAAATTGATACAATATAACTATCAGTACTACTTAAACACTTAGGGCCGGTTTATCAATGTCAAGTTAAAGTTGCAGTAAGTTATATGGCAGATAATTTCCATGGATACCATTGTTCTTACAACTATCAATATAGAATATAGAAACTGTCAGATAGACTAACTGTAACTTAAACAAAGATTTATAAACCGGCCTTTATTGATGTATTTCGTAACTTTAACCCCCATCCCAAAACCAGTGATGGCATTTTTTTTCGTATACTTAGCACACTCGTTAAATAGGTTTAGGGAATCCCAATAACAATAATAACAGATGAAACTATAATAGATTTATGATCAGAAAAATGACATTTGACAAAAACCTTGCAAACCTTGCATAAATTTATCTTAGTTTGACAAAATAGGGCGTTCCTCTACAATACCAGATAAGTAAAAACATTGATGTTAAACAACCCATGAGTATGTATACAACTTTCAAGAAGTAGTTTGAAGAAAGCAAGGTAAAGAACTTGAACAAAAAAGTCGTGGCATATTTTGTACAAAGAAATGCAAAACTGAGCTATGGTATTATTATTTTTCATATAAACATCTAAAGGAAATACCGACTATTTGGATAAATTATAAGTAATTTACTTACCGATCAGATAAAGCGTTGTTAAGTAAATTACTTACCGACGCTTTATTCCTAGCAACCAGTAAACACAACCCACAGATCTATAAATAGATACGGTAAATCATTCAAAATAGCATGTTCGTACGAAAAATAGTTTTTTTGGCTCATACAATTGCATTGGTATCATAATTATTTAAAAAGTTAATATCCCCACAAACTGTAATACTTTTGTTTTCTGGTATAATAAATAAAGTTTTATTCACATTTTCTTGAAATTAGTTTGGTTCCAAAAGTTGTTAGTTCCACACTGGTATTAAATAAATAATTTAAATTATAGCGTGTAATATAAAAAACTACTAAACAGAAATGCCTGGAGTCTAGGTCTTGGATAATCTTTTTCCAGGAAAGTAACGTTAATAAAGGAAATCCGAATACAATATATCGAGCAAAATTTATAATCAGATAATCCTTTTATAATATGCTGAAGTATAAAATGAAACTGAACATATTTTATTAAAAAAACATAAAAGGAACAGAAATAAACCTTCATCCATTTCATGTATTACAATCAGAGCTGGGCACGAGTAACAAAAAAAAGTATTCGTAAAATTTTAAGTACGAGTACTTAAAATATTTACTCGTAAGTACATTTGTAAAAAGAGGTTACGGTTACTAGTAGTAATGGTGAAAACACGAGTAAAGAGTACGAGTACTTTTGAAAATAAAAGTTAGTTAATATAATTGATTATTCTTTACTCTCTAAAAATGGGTTACTCAAAAATAATTTATTGTCATAGCGAAAAAGGAGCCACTAATAATTCTCGTCAATAGCAATTTGTATTTTTAACATTTAGCAGTCAATTTCCATGTAAAATTGTTCCCTGAATCCGAAAATGTCGTCAAAAGTTAGAAAAGTAGAACAGTTTTTGAGATATAGTCCATTTTCCATATAATATGGAATTGACTATATCTCAAAAACCTCCACTTTCTTAATTTTTGACGGTATTTTCACTAATTTCCACTAATAACTGTGGTAATTAGTCATTTTTGACTAATTCATTTTTAGGGAGTGTACTTTGGTCCTGAGCTATAAAAATACAAATACAAATTTATGAAATTATTTATTTACATTATAACATTATTTACATAAAATAATAACAATTCTTAAATAGTTTATAATTTTACCTATTTACTTGTTAAAAAACCTTTAGGCTATAATATATTATATTATACTATACAGGGTGTTTCATAATATATGCGCAGGACTTCAGGATGTGATAACTCATCCAAAAAGATGACAAAAGTCGCTATTAACTTCCCTCTAAAATGCACAATTTTCGAGATACAGAGTGTTGAAATTTTAGAAAAAAATTCGTTTTTTTCGAATATCTCCGGAACCGTTTATCGTACAAAAAACAGCTTTTGGAAGCATTTTCTACTCAAAATAAGCTATGTTTTGTTCCAGAAAAAATTTTTTTTTCCTCTTAATTGGTGGAGATTTTGAAGGGGTAGCGGGTGTTTTTCTCCTCAACTTCTAGGCCCCTGAAAAATGTACGGTTTTGAGAGGCCTATTCGAACCGCCAATGTTTTCTACACAAAAAAGGTACTCTTGGTCATAAGCTCTAAGGTCGAGAAAAATCAACTTTTATGTTTAAAAACATGGTCAATTTAAAAAAAAAAAATTTTTTTTACTAATTAAACAAAATTTATTTTAACGTTAGAACAAGTAACAAAACCAAACCATAATTGCAAAATAAAAAATGATTCAAAAGTTGTCTTTGCTAAATTCTCCAAACCGTAAAGGTAACGCATTTCGAACATTTCAGCATTAAATGCACAAATTTTGTGTAAAAAAATATTTATTTTTTTTTTTAATTTTGCAATTATCGTTTGGTTTTGTTACTTTTTCTAACGTTAAAATAAATTTTGTTTAATTAGTAATAAAAAATTTTTTTTTAATTGAACATGTTTTTAAACATAAAAGTTGATTTTTCCCGAAAACGGTCAACTTTAGAGCTTATGACCAAAAGTACCTTTTTTGTGTAGAAAACATTGGCGGTTCGAATGGGCCTCTCAAAACCGTACTTTTTTCAGGGGCGTTAAAGTTGAGGAGAAAAACACCCGCTACCCCTTCAAAATCTCCACCAATTATGAGTAAAAAAAAATTTTTTTCTGGCACAAAACATAGCTTATTATGAGTAGAAAATGCTTACAAAAGCCTTTTTTTGTACGACAAACGGTTCCAGAGATAATCGAAAAAAACGATTTTTTTTCTAAAATTTCAACACCCTGTATCTCGAAAATTGTGTATTTTAGAGGGTAAGTTAATAGCGACTTTTTTCATCTTTTTGGATGAGCTATCACATCCTGAAGTCCTGCGCATATATTATGAAACACCCTGTATATTATATAATTTAAAATAGACTTCCAAACAAAATGTTTTGATGCTTACGATATTTTGGCAAAAGGTCATCCATATAATAAAAGAAAATACTCGTATATATTACTCGTGAATTCCACGAGTATTTTTTACGAGTTCATTGAATTTGGTTTGTAAGTACGAGTAATAAGTATTTTAAATGAATAATTATAGTAATTGAAATACGAGTAAAAATACTCAGTACTTGGCCAGCTCTGATTACAATAGGTATTATTAAATCAAACGGAATAAACATTATTTATTTAAATTACTATTTTTTTAATTGTTTTCTTATTTAGGACTTAATTGCACCCCCCCAGCCATAGACGACTTCCCTAGGGACTTCTTCAACGAAGAACAAAGACAAGGTGGTGCGGTCGCAGTGCATGTGCTAGTCTCACTTTACCTTTTCGTTGCGCTGGCCGTAGTCTGTGATAAATTTTTTGTGCCGGCCGTTGAAAAAATATGTCACGGTAAAATCGACAACGAAAGTCATCGATTTCATTTACTTATGATTTTGTTTTTCAGCGTTAAATATGTCCTCCGACGTGGCGGGTGCGACATTTATGGCCGCCGCGACGTCGGCGCCCGAACTTTTCGTCAACGTAATTGGTACTTTTATAACTGAAGGTGATATTGGTGTGGGTACCATCGTGGGTTCCGCTGTTTTTAATATTCTTGCTGTGGCCGCGTGTTGTGGAATTGGAGCTGGAATGGTAAGACTACTTTTTTTTTGAACGTATAACCTTGATTTGAACAGTGGCGGAAATACCGTACAGCAGAAGTTCTGGGGGGCGGCCTTTGGAGAGGGCGATGGGCCAGGGTGCTCTCGCCGCACTGCACTTTTGGAATTTCACCGAACCAATTATTTCATTTTCGGCAAATAGACACTTTGGGGTATTTAGAGCTGATTTTATATAAATTTGGCCCTAAATTTAAATATGGCATTCGTTTTTGCCCATTAGCTCAAATTTCTTAAATATTTTAAACTTAGTAAAATATACGTTACCCATGTTTTAAGTTGAATCCACGAAACAAATTAAATGTAATGTTTACCTATACTCGTATTATAAAAATATATAATTAAGTATATTATATAATTAATAAAAAGATAGACGAAAGAGTTATCGATGAAACCAACTACATGGTCACTGAACACTGAAGGTTCTTTTCCGCGACTTTCTTAAATGTATTGTGAAACAGTTCCTTTTTAAACTCCAGCAGTTATCTGCTATCATGTGCTGATCCCATCTTCTTTGGTAGCGGTCTTCCATAGTTTTAATATCCCTAAATTTTTACGATCTAAGTGGCTGTGTAAAAAGTGCACATTAATACTCATGTTAAATCCAAGGGATTTAAAACTGTTAAGCATCTCGTTTACCAGTTCAACATAATTTTTGCTTTGCGTTTTCCCAGAAAATTTTGCAACAAATGAGGTTTAGGCTTTTATTCATCGCATTTACGAAGGCAGGATCCTTAATGGGTTGTCTTATTTGTGGGCTATCAAATATTTCTGCTATAAGTTTTTCCCAACTCAACTGAAAATTTTTTCCCTCTATAAATAAATTAAATTTACGAACTGCTTCATAAGACCTAGCTTGATATACAGAGGAAAGATGATTTTATATTGTTTAACTAAGGGGTCGTTCGCCTTGAGCTGTCTTTAAATAGGCGCCAATCATCTTGAACATATTCCGGAAGACCCATGTTTTCCAGAAGCTCTAATATCCGGACAAAATACAAGATTGTCTTCTTGAGAGAAGACAGGTAGGAGGCCCTTGTACGCGTATACGGTAAAAGGTAGTTTTGGTTCCTTTTCTAGTGAATTTTTCTCTTTCAACCTTGAAGAAAGTAATTCAGAAGCTTCCTTTGATAGGTTAAGATCTCTGGTGAGGTCATTCAACTCATCCTGTTTTCACTTTCATGAGTATCAGAAGGGTGATCAGAGGGACAATACTCATCCTCACAGAGCTCTGGTAGCTGGTGAAACGTTGGAACTGGCACCCCCTCTGAGTGAGGGACCGGGCGTATTGCAGAGAATAAATCAGGATAAGTCCACTTGCTACGGTTGTTTCAATTGATTCAAATAATATTAACTAGGCAGAAATAGCAGTTATCGAAGTGCTTTTCCCGGTAGTCTACTGTCTACTGTAAATGTGCTGTACAAGTTTTGCAGACCTTGCCCAGATTTTGTCCTGATCAACAATCATAGTATCCAAGATAGCCATTCTTTACAAAGAAACTAACTTTTTTTCTATTTGTTTAACGTGTATTCTCTACATATGTAGGAAAGCATACAAGGATGATTTACACCACTTCTTCTACTTGAATTTATTTAAAGCTTAATAAAATGCAATGCCTAATTTTTTCCCTTTGTTAATTTATATACACTGTCTTTACAGTTTTTGTTGGCCTGTGTAATAATAAAGTGAAAACGATACTTTCAATAATTGATAATGTATAAATTATTTAATCAGAGGCCCAGGATTATGAACTACACACAAGGCAAAATACGAACAGGACCTAAAATTCGAACGAATTTTGCTGCGAGTCCAGCTCGTATTTTTCCCATCGTCTGGTTTTATTTGCCCTATACCACGTAAATTTGCATTTCTGAAGGGTATTGACTTTTGCCTAAATTTTAAACTGGAGTGAAATATTTTTGATAAAACGGTATCAAAAAGCTACCTTTCAAAAGCTTTAACTTCCTTAGGAAGCCTTTTTAAATAAGACGATTTTCACTTTTTTTGTGATATTCAATTTGTTTATAATGTTAACTAAGAATTTAATAGCAAAATAAAAAAATCCCACGGTTTGTTTTTTTTTATATGAATTTTTATTACAAATATTATACACTTTTTTAACTATTCACTTAGAACTTTTGATTTCATTAACATATGGCCAAAATGTTTTAATTAGTTAAAAAAATTTCTTAAAACATAGCTTTTGCTACGTTTTTTTATTATTGACCGTTTTTTTAAATTTTAATTTAACTCTTAAAAGTACACATTTGTTTCCTTTTTTAAAACTGTGTCCAAGGATGCCAAAAATTGGTAATTTATTTATATTTATTTTACATTAAAAAAAAGGATTATTTTAATTGGTGGAGTGAAGTAAATGGTAATGAAGCACAATTAAGTATTTACCAAAACAGTTGTAATTTACCAATCATTTAATTAAAAACAACACGTGCCTCAAGACGGTCTAAGTTAATTTTTTGGTATACCTAATCATGTTTTTTTGGGTATTTTTTGTGAAAAATAAAATTTTATTTGAAATATAAGGGGCAATCCATGCCAAATCACCGAGGTTTTGACCCGACCCCCTTCGATTTCGCTGAAACTTTTTTATGATTTTCTATCCTACCAAAGACATTTTTCTGAATTTTTTCAGATTTTTTTACCCAACCCAAAAAAAGTTACGAATTTTTGAAAAAAACCGCTCTTGTATTTTAAAATTGCAATAACTTTTTCACAAATTGACCTTTCGGCACGTTTTTTTTTTTGAAATTTTTGTTTTTAAATGTAGTTTTCAGAAAAAAATACAAACAATTTTTCGGAAGTCACGATATATGAAATATTTCAGTTTTTTCAATAAAACCGTCATTTTTTCGAATTCTGAAACCTTCGATTCTCAATTTTTTTGTCTCAAAAAAAAACTTCAACTAAGACAGTATTTAACCCCACTATTCCCATTTTGTGCCGACTTTCCATTCTATTGTTTTTTTTTCGATTGAAAATAAAGAAATTTCTCAATTTGGCTTATTTTTTTATGCCTTTGCGTTGAGGTTTTTTTTATTGTTTTTAAAAGCTCAGAACTTGAATAAAATTGGATAAAAACAACCGTAAATTTTTTATTAAAGTATTGTTTTTACGTCGTTAAAAATCTAAATATTTTAATTATTTTCCTCGGTTTAGCGATTGTTTTCTTGAATTCTTAACCGTACAATGTTGTGTCTTAAGGAATGAACTTATGTTAAAGAATGAACTTGCATTAAAGGTTATGGTATAAAAAAACATATATGGTATAAAAAAACATAAAGAAAGTACGAAAGGTTATGGTGGATGTTCAGTGACTGATGGTAATGAACTTGTGTTAAAGAATGAATTTGTGTTATTAAATTATAAAGAAAGACGATTATAATCACATTCAAATATATGTTTTTTAAAGTAGGTATACTTGACGTTTCGTTGTTTTTTATTTAAAAGAGGTGGTAAAATAATAAAAATGTGAATTTTTTGAAAAAATAACACTTTTTATAAACTAATGTTTTGATATTTTTTTAAACTGTGAATTAGACTATTTTGTTTCTTAAAAAGAGTTTACGTTTACGTACATTGTACGGTTAAGAATTCAAGAAAACAATCGCTAAACCGAGGAAAATAATTAAAATATTTAGATTTTTAACGATGTAAAAACAATACTTTAATAAAAAATTTACGGTTGTTTTTATCCAATTTTATTGAACTTCTGAGCTTTTAAAAACAATAAAAAAAAACCTCAACGCAAAGGCATAAAAAATAAGCCAAATTGAGAAATTTCTTTATTTTCAATCGAAAAAAAAAAACAATAGAATGGAAAGTCGGCACAAAATGGGAATAGTGGGGTTAAATACTGTCTTAGTTGAAGTTTTTTTTGAGACAAAAAAATTGAGAATCGAAGGTTTCAGAATTCGAAAAAATGACGGTTTTATTGAAAAAACTGAAATATTTCATATATCGTGACTTCCGAAAAATTGTTTGTATTTTTTTCTGAAAACTACATTTAAAAACAAAAATTTCAAAAAAAAAAACGTGACGAAAGGTCAATTTGTGAAAAAGTTATTGCAATTTTAAAATACAAGAGCGGTTTTTTTCAAAAATTCGTAACTTTTTTTGGGTTGGGTAAAAAAATCTGAAAAAATTCAGAAAAATGTCTTTGGTAGGATAGAAAATGATAAAAAAGTTTCAGCGAAATCGAAGGGGGTCGGGTCAAAACCTCGGTGATTTGGCATGGATTGCCCCATAAACAATAATAGAACCCAAATCAATAAAAAAACAATAATTAATCGAAATAACAATAGACAAAAATTTAAATTCAAAAATTTTCCCAGTTGATTTGGTCTATTAAACAAAAAAATTAAAGATATTCAAATTGATATTTATATTTTAAAACTAAATTAGTACAAACGTAATCTCAATATATAAATTTCTTCACTCCAATGTAAAGTTATTTCATTGTTAATAATTTTTAAATCTCAAAAAAATTATTATTGCAAAAACCATTTTTTTCTTTTATTGTACAAAAATGTATTAACCTGTAGAATAAATGTTAGTTGCAGATTTATACATCTATGCCTTACTACGAAAATAAAAGTATAATAAAAATATAATATTTACGCTTTTGAAACAACATATGCCAAAGAAATTGTATTTCAATTTGTATTGTTTCTTTTCTAAAACTTGTAAACATGCAGTAAAAATAAGCCCTGTTAGCATGTTTGCCTTTTATTATTATTGCTGCGATGCGCAGAGGCTTAGAACACAAAAATAACAAAATAATAATATTTTACAGTGTGGCGTAAAGGTGGTTCCCTTAGACTGGTGGCCTCTGACCAGAGACTGTCTGGCTTATGGCATAACAGTTTCAATTTTAATTTGTATTATACACGACGAGAGAGTTGAGTGGTATGAAGCTCTGATTCTGGTTCTTTTGTACACCGTGTATATTTTGATAATGTACTTTGATAAATCCATCCAAAGATTCGTCAGAGGTAATAAAATTTAAAATAAATCATTTAAACTAGCACTAAGTTCTACACAATTTTAGGAAGTTTAAGACATGCACAAAAACACTCAAGATCACATAGTTCAGCTAGCACAAAGTCTAAAACACAATCCATAGGTAAGAATAATTTGCAATAATCTGCATGAAATATGTATATTCTCAATATAAAATTGACAGATGCTGTCAAAAAAATTTTGTGTGAATTTACCTTTATTACAAAAATTATTTAATTATTGTTAAATGTTAATTTTTGCAGTTTTTGTACCAAATTACAATAAAATGGCAAAAACTGAAAAAACGGACTTATGGACGGACGATATGTGATTTGTGTTATTAAGGTAAATTCACACAAAATGTCCCGATTTTTGTTGACAGAATCTGGCAGCCCTTAACCTTCTGGCACCAATTTCGCAAAAATGGTGTTGAAACTGTGACATATGTTAAATGTCAGATAAAATATCAAATAAAATGTCAGACTTTAGTAGTTCATACTTTTTTACACTTATGTATATTTCTAGCGGTAGTTAAATAAAATATTGTGGGACCATTGGTCAAAAGAGGAGATTCCACTCGCGTGATACCGCACTTGCTTTACGCTCGAGGAATCTCCTCTTTCTCCCACTAGTCGCACAATACACTATAAACAAGAGAAGAATACTTTATAGTTTCTTCTTCCTTAAGGTTGTATTTTATAACAACGAAGTTTGATCTATTGAAAAATTTAGTATACGCCATTTTTTTTCTTCTAAAGAAAGAGGAAAACTGATTTTTTTTTAATTTAGTAGCTGTTATACTATTTACGAATGAATACTAAATATCAAGAAAATTGAGCATAGTTTGGGTATTTCAGAAGTGAGCTTTCCAAAATGTTTAGTAATAAACTACTAAATTTAAAAAATAATAAATTCTTCGTTTATGTAGAATCTACATTAGAAATTAGAATTAAATCGTAAACTATTGAACATTTAGTTCACAAAGGTTTTAATTAATTTAATCATTGGAAAAATGACAACAGTTACTGTTTAAAACACACGTACAAAAAATTTTAAATCCTTGGCTGAAAAATTTTAAATCCTTGGCTGATAAAACTTAAAGAGAGTGATGTCACATTCATGGCTGTGGGATTCTTGCGATCATATCTTTCTTTTTCTATGTCCATGGAATAAGCACCTACATATTTAAAATTGCCTTGGTTTTAAATGGACGTCTAAATACAGGGTGTCTCTAAATTTCATCCAAAAATTGTAAGAAGTGATTCAAACTAAAAATTCAAAACTTAATAAAATAAAATAACTTTAGTATAGCAGATTTCGCCAGTAAGTGGATGACTGAATTTCTGTTGTCACCATGTAGAATTGAGGAGCATCCGTGCAAAACCGGCTATATCCACTTTAATAAAATGTTGGGAAAATGGCAAAAACTCTCAGTTTCCTGGCCTTCACAGATAAAAGAAAAAGCAAACTTGAATTTTGTGGGCTTTGTGGTACTTGATTTATAAGACATACTTTCGTTTTCAAAATTTCAAAAAATGTTTTGTATATAGCCGGTTTTGCTCGAAAACCGAATAAAAAACGAATAAAATGTGAAAAAAACCTTTATTATTCAAAAATATTAACAAAATAACTTTAGTGCAATCACGAAAAAACAGAACAAATTTTAGTAGTAGTATCGACATATCCAAGCCACATATTATTATTTATTGGATATAGCCGGGTTTGCTATAAAAACGTGGATTTGGCCGGTTTTGCTCCTAAAGCTACCTTTTAAATGTGATTTTAACATGGATATAGTCGGATTTAAACAGAATTATCTTGGTTGTCGATAGAAATGAACCCAAAGATGCGAAATCAAAAAAAAACTGAATAAAATGGATTTAGCCGGTTTTGCACGGATGCTCTTCAATTATTCTTCTTCATAAAAACCAAATGCTGATATGATGCGTTAGCTGACGGTGACACACAGATTCTCCTATTGTTTCATAGATGGCGCTCTATACAAATTTTTGATTAAAATCATTTTAAGATAATAATAAGTATTAGTTGTAGAAAAAGTATAGTATGCACCACGTTTATAAACTTTTCTATACACTCATGTCTAAGTTAAATTCATGTATAAAATGGCGTTTATCAAACTTGATAAAAATATAATATTAAAGAAAATAAATGTTTAATCTTGGTCAAATTATAATTACAATATCCTAGTTCATCAGCTGGAAAAATGTTTTAAAAACACTTGATTAAAAAAGTATACATTTTTGACAAAATCTCATTTCTTAATTATTAAGACGTCAAAATTATCATTGTAAACTTTATTACACGAATGGTTAAAGCACAAATATACACGGTGGCGCGTTTCGATCTGACATGAAGACATTGAAGATATAAGGGTCAACCATTTTTTAAACTAAAAAGCAATAACGGAAATATATTTAAAAAGAGAAACTGCTTAACTATGAACTCACTGGGAACGACGCATTCTTGGAGTCACCAAAGTTCCGCATTGCTTGCTCAAGCATTTCAGTTGAAATTTAAGCAACTATTTCCCGAATTGATGTCTTTAATTCCTAAATGGTGCGGGGAAAGGGCCAAGATGCATCTCCGATATGCGAGATCAAGTGTCCAGAAAACAGAACGCCTGCTTGAACTAGCTGAAGTTTTCAATCATGGTAAAATTACACTGGAAATTAACCGTATTTTTTACGGGGCTATTCCAAGGCGAGTGTCTATGCGAATACGCAATTATTGATTTAAATTAATAAATTTTCATTAGTACTCATCATTTTAAAATTTATTTGACCCTTATATTATATATTCAAAATTAAAAATTTAAAAGCCATTTGAAATACGTTAGATCCAAACACGCAAACCTGTACATATACAGGGTGTCCCAAAAGTCCTTTGAAGGACTTATAGGTCAGCTCATGATTATTCAGTATATCAAAACATGACCTTAGAAAAAAATCATTAGTTTGTAAGATATTGGCATTTTTATGAATTTTGTGAAACTTGACACCTAAGATCAGTTTTTCGAGTGCCACAGCTACACAATTCTATAATCTTAGTTTATATTTTATGTTGCGTAACCCTGAATAGGCCTGCTATTAATTAAAATTCAAAATTTAACTAATAGTAGATTTTGTAGCTGTGGCACTCGAAAAATTAATCTAAGGTGTCAAGTTTTACAAAATTCATAAAAATGACTATATCTCAAAAACTAACGATTTTTTACTAAGGTCATGTGATTTTATAGTTAGTCATGAGTTGGTCTATCAGTCCTCCAAAGGATATCGTTGACTTTTGGGACACCCTGTATAACAAACTTTTATTTGTCATAATTTCCGTAGCCAGTAACCAAAATTTATAAAGGTTTTGGAAATACACAATCGCTTTTACATAAAAAAAATATTTTTCAAAGTCAAATAAAAAGGCGTTTAATAATACCTACTTTTAGTACTAATTTTTCTAAAAAATGTAAAGTTTGACAATGCAATAATTTGTTTCAAATTTTTAGAAGCTGTCGAAGCCCATTTACCGTTGCGACCTCCCAGCGAAAAAGAAGCGCAAAATGATGCAGAAGAACGCCCACCCGCCCATCTTAATGGATCCGTGAAAGTAGCAGTGCCAGAGCCCGCAGAAACCGACGAAATGAACAATAAAGTAGTCGACGGTAACATTTGTGGTGAGAAAGATGAACCAAGACATTCAATTTGGAAATGGCCCTCTGGACGCAGTACGTTCACCAAGGTAAATGGGGTTACTTTACTAAACTAAATATGTTTCATTTTGATCAGAGCTGGGAAAGTAACTTCTGAAAAGTATCTAGTTACTTTTCTTAGATACTTTAGAAAGTATCTAAGATACTATCCGAAAGTATCTAAGATACTATCCGAAAGTATCTAAGATACTATATGAAAGTATCTAAGATTCTTTTGAGTAACTAAGATACTTTTAAGTAACTAAGATACTTTTGAGTTACTAAGTTACTTTTAAGTATGAATAAAAACTATAAAATTATGAGTACGAGTAATTAAGATACTTTTTTAAATAAAAGATACTTTTCCAAAGTATCTAAGTTATAGATACTTTCTGTCCAATATAAGAAGTATCTAAGATAAAGTATCTTAGATACTTTAAGTATTTAAGTTACTTTTGAGTATCTTTTTTTAAGATACTCCCAGCTCCGATTTTGATCGATGACCTTTTGCCATTTTTTTTTTAAATATCAAAGAAACGAAGAAGCAAATAATTTCATATTTATTACTATCCCGGTGCATTCGCCATTTTTAAACGATTTTGTTTAGGCTACGTGGATTTTAACGTGGCCCATTCATTTGGTGTTCTATTTTACAATTCCTGATTGTGAGGATCCCAAATTCAAAAAATGGTTTTCTATGACGTTTGTAATGTGTATTGTTTGGATTGGTTCCCTTTCTTATATTGTGGCTTGGATGATTACTATTATTGGTAAGTTAACTTTAATTTTTTGTTCGAATATAATCATAAATAAATTTTAGGAGATACACTGAAAATACCGGATTCTGTTATGGGTATAACGTTCTTGGCTGCCGGTACTAGCGTACCGGAGGCAGTTTCAAGCGTAATTGTGGCCAAACAAGGTAAATTAATTATGGCCAAAAAGCCCTAAAAGTAAACTTTCTCTGATTAAATTAAAAATTATAGAATAATGTATATAATAAATATAGATATAATAAAATATTTATAAACTAATGGTAAATATTATATAGCTACTCTCTATGTATACATAAAGAAAATTTAAATTAACGCACACCTAAAAAATCACAATTTGTAGATGGGGCATTCCAAGCCTAATCGGATGGTTTTAAAAAAAAAAATTATTCCTTCAGATTTTTTTTTAATTTTTTAGTACTCCTTGAAAGAGCTTTCTCAGTAAATTTTGAGATTTTTTTGATCACGGGTTCAAACGATATCAAATTTCAAAAAAACTTCTTTTTTTTGTTTTTCGCTCATAACTTCTTAAAAAATGGTCCAAATCAAAATGTTCATTCTATATAAAATTTTTGTTTTTAAATGTACTTTTCAAAAAAAAATATATTGAAAATATTTTAAGCGTTTTAAGTCAAGATTTTTGAGTTTTAAAGTTTAAATCGTGTTTTTAAAAATGTGTCTTCTTCGATTTTCGCGAAAAATTTTTATTTTCAACTTCTATCTATTCAATAACTATTTTGCCTGGTCTGGTAGTGGGCCTTCCATAATTACTATTTTTTTTCGATTTTTAAAAATTAAAAAAAAAATTCTCTAAAAATTATTATGTTTCAAAATTAAAAAAAACCTCTAAAAATTATGTTTCGAAAAAAAATAGTAATTATGGAAGGCCCACTACCGGATCAGGCTGAATAGTTGTTAAATAGAAGTTGAAAATAAAATTTTTTCGCGAAAATCGAAGAAGACACATTTTTAAAAACACGATTTAAACTTTAAAACTTAAAAATCTTGACTTAAAACGCTTTAAATATTTTCAATATATATTTTTTTTGAAAAGTACATTTAAAAACGAAAATTTTATATAAAATGAACATTTTGATTTGGACCATTTTTTAAGAAGTTATGAGCGAAAAACCCGTGATCAAAAAAATCTTAAAATTTACCGAAAGCTCTTTCAAGGAGTACTAAAAAATATTAAAAAATTGGAGGAATCAAAAAAAAAAATTTTAAACCATCCGATTTGGCGTGGAATGCCCCAGATATAAATTAAATTTGCGCTGCTTTTGAGTTGCTGTCACTTCGTTATTATAACAAAAATATATTTTATAGTAAAAGCAAAGGTTACATTTTGCTAAAAAACATGTATTAAAAAAAATTAATATTTATGTTTTTAAAATTTTCTTAAATAATGTAATACCTTGTAAAATGTTGAAATTCGACACTTAACTAGGGATAAGTTTCACTGTCCAATTCCGTCCAAGATAAAATTTACACCAAATTGTAGCTTGAAGTATTATAAATAAGGCTATATGGTTATCCTGCCAGAAGTTGACAATAAAAAAAGTTAGAGCAGTTTATACAATGCTGCGCGCTTAGATTTTTTCGTTTAAAAATCTTAATGCTCTCTCTTCTTAAAACGTTTTAACTTGTATCTTATAATACATATGTTAATAAATAGGTATATACTTACTTTAAACCCTTTTTAAAATTGTTTTTAATACGATAGATAAAATTTAATACAAATTAGTTGAAATAATTATTAATTCCATTTCTTGTAGGTATACCTATAGGTAGTTAAATTAGGTATACCTACCTATAGGTAGTTAAATTATTTTTTTAGGTTATATATAGGTGTAATATTATACAGTGTGACCTATTTGTTTAAGACTAACCCCTGTAAAATCTTTATTTATTGTGCGATTTGAACCAGATTTGTTTTGAAGTGTAGATCTGGATAAACTGTATTTTTGGAGCAAAAAACGCCATATTTGTACAAAATACAAGGTCAGTTTTTAAGAATTCATATTAGCGATTTTTTTAAACAAAATCTAAGCACGGCACTGGATTCACCACCTCTCAAAACGACCCTATAGTCAATTTATAGAAAAATTTTGGGGAAAAAAATGCGCAATAATAACTACAAAAATTTATTTTGTCAAGTTATCCATGAAAAAAACATTGAAATAAAATTGAACATACCATGTTACTATTCGTTTAATTTTGTTTCAATGTTTTTTCATGGATATCTTGACAAAATAAATTTTTGTAGTTTTAAACGCAAAAACAAACGCAAATGTCAACGCAAAATGAATGCCAAGTCTACAAAAACGCACGATTTATGTCAAAAAACGCAAACTTGACCATATTTTACAAAAACAATAAAAAATCATTAAATATTTGCGTTTAATTTTGAAAAGTTAACGGAAATCTATAATATTAGGTATTGCGTTTAATTTTAAAACTAAGCGCAAACTAAACTTCAATCCACACTATCATAAAAGTCAACGCCAAATACACGCAAATAAAAAGCTTACACAAAACCTGCAATTTTTAAGTTGATTTTAATTTTGCTTTGTACACAACTCAACGTTAAATTTGGGATTGCCAGATCCGCTAGGGCGTTTTAAACAAAATTAGTATTTTTGTATGAAAGTTGGTGACAGACATCCTAAGCACTTAATAGTTAAACTTTGTTTCAATGTCTTACTATTCTCATTCTTTTCCTGCGAACACTTCCTTATCTGTACTTTTATATTTAAATAAGAAACGAAGTGATGTTGCAACTTTAATTTAAGACCATTTAAATAAGGTATCACTTAAAATTTCAGGGTTTGCGACCACTGTCCAAAGGTGTGAAGCGATTTGCAAGTTAAATTCATTGCATAAGATCGAAACTAAAGTTGGCGTTTTAAAAAAAATCATCAAAACGTTTTTGTTGGTCCAATTAATTGAATTTAACCAGAGCAATGAATTAATGCTTAGATTATTAGGATACATAGGTTTTTCTACTTTAATTTCTATTTTGATGACAGAATAACGATATCAAAAACTCTTTAATTGATCGCCATTAGCCGGTGTCAGCTCGCAAATCTCTCATCTGTTTGAGACTAGCCTCTCAACAACAAAAAAAGTAATAGGCAACCCGCGTCGTTAGGCTCCTAATTAATGGATTCTGAATATTATAGCGCAGCCTCCTGAGGCGTATTTCAGTATATAAAGTCCGATTGCAAAGCGCGCCGTTCAGTATTTTCATTTATTATTATTTAATGATATTATTGTAATATTACTGCTATTATAAGCGAATAAGTTGATCGTTTCCACCTGAATAAATTTATTTGTATAAAAATATTTTCCAGAATATTTACATAAATATAATTTCTATTTTATAGATTTTTAGTAAAATTTATTTAAATTTAAACTCGGTCCAATTGATACTAGAAAAATATGTTGTGATACCTTTTATAAGTTTTTGTATTAAAACAGTTAAGTTATATTCAGGTCCATTTTTATCATTTGATAAAAAGGGCATTATTATCCTCGTTTAGGTACTATTATTTTTTCAATACTTTCATAAAAGCCGTGAAAACAATTTTGCCCATATAAACATTGATAAATTATTTATAAACCTAAACTGTATAGTATATTATACGTTTGTACTGTTTTATAGGACATGGATCTATGGGAATAAGTAATTCTATTGGATCAAATACTTTTGATATTTTACTGTGTTTGGGACTTCCATGGTTCATCAAGGCCACATTTATGCCCACCATTGCAGGAAAACATTGGGTAACAATTGTTAAATTAATTTTTCAAAACAGACTCACCAATTATATTTATTTATCTATTATTTTTTTCTTAGGTCGGAATAAATTCAGCAGGAATAGAGTACAGCGCCATCTCTCTGTTGTCTTCTCTACTGATGCTCTATGTTGTCTTCGCATTGAACAAGTTTAAGCTGGACAAGAAAGTAGGCCGCATTTGTCTGCTAATGTACGCCATCTTTCTGATACTGGCCAGTCTAATCGAACTAAACGCCTTTTTCCGGGTAAATTTGCCCACTTGCGGCCGATGAATACAGAAAACTTTTTTTAAATAAAAAGTGAGTGCGCGGTAAATTCACACAAATTTATATTTAAGTACAACAAACGTTTTTTAAGCAAATAGTTACAATACATCCGAATTATGCAACAAAATGGTGTTGAATTGTTGTTTGCTACTTGTGATGATTCCTTATAAATGTTGCTTATTTTGTTATAATAAACTTATACAATAGAATTATTTTTAATACGTTAAAAACTATATTTTTGTATTTAAAATAAATAATATCCATCCAAAGTATAAAATCCAAATATTGCCTTTGTCAGATCTCAAGAGCGAAAAATTGTTTTAGAAATAATCTGGCACAATTTATTTTTATTATTAGTATTTTAATCATTTATTAAACATTCACTAGTTTTTAGTAAATTTAAATTTATATCACTATCAATTGTACATACAATTTATTAATTAGGTATTTAAATTTACTATAGTTTTACTATTTTTCAACAGTATGTTCTTTGAATTATTAAGTATATGATATATTATATAAAATAAAATAGTTTATGAAAAAAATGTTTTTCTTAGGTGTATTAAAACAAACGTATGCATTTTATCTTGCAGTTTATTTGGAATGTGCAAAAAATACATGTGTTAAATAAGTTTTTTGTTTAAACCATTAAAAAACTAATAAATTAACATGCATGACAAATATATTAATTTAAATAAAATAATAATTATTATCTTTATTAAAATTGTTGGAATCAAATTTAAGTAAATAATATTTTTGTATAATCTTATGTTTAAGCAATATATTTAGATGCACATACTAAGGATGAACGTCGGTGCGGCCCAAAGACTATAAATTTATTTGTAGCGTATTTTTTACGTACAAAGAAGCAGAACAGTTACTGTAATCATCACCTATTAGATCACAAAATAGCACTTAATTAACATACTCAAGCCCCATTATTAAAAAAAATCTCATTACTTAATAAGCTAGGTACATAAAATTCCTTATTACTCGTATATTAAGTCCCATAAAAAATCGTACAAATCGAACAGCCAATAATTCTATACTTAACAAAATGTTTAGCGGTAGAATTTAATTTCGGTTTCTACGCAATCTTTGAGCAAATCGTCGACTTCAGATAAATCACTACCAATGCTTTCAGTAAGTTTTTCTAATTCCTTCACACAGTCTTCTTCCATGTTACGTAACAAATTTAAAACCTCAGGGCCTTTCTTCATAGCCTCAGAATGAAGTTTATATAAATTATGTGGTACAATTCCCTAAAATTGTAAATGGTTAAATCCAATAAAATATAAAAATATGTACTTGTGAACACAAAATAATAATGAACTTAACCTATTACCCATCTATCTTAAGATTAATTAATTTAATTACCCAATTTATATAAGAATTGTCTAAATAATCAAAAACTATACAAAAATAAATAAATGGAATAATATGGAAACATTTAGATAATGATAGGTAAATCAGTTCGAGAAAATGAACCTAGTATTCAAAATCAAGTTTTACAGGAAAAGCGATTGAAATTTAGGCTGCATAGCCGTTTGTGTAGTAAAGCCTGATTTATAGATTGCCTTCCTTTCTTCCTCCCGTAAAAGATGAACAATAAAAAACCTGTTGTCCCGTACGGAAATCTATAAATGGCACTATGAATTTCGTATTGTTCATCTTCTATGGGAGGAAGGAAGGAAGGAAGGAAAGCAATCTATAATTCAAGCTTAACGCTCGAAAATTTAATAGCAATATGAACTATTTGGACCTTTCTAAAGATCGTTTACTTAAAATATTGATAATCTTAAAAATCAGTTTTTGGACACTAGGTCCCTTTTCTCGAAACGCGTCACATGATTAAGATGGCTGAGAAATTCTGGGATATAAAAAAAATAAAATGTATAAAACGTAATCCCGTTATTGGGACCTGGGCCTCTGTTGGATTCAATAAATAAATTAAACGACCCAAATTAAAGAACTCTTTAAAAGTATTCTCAAACCGTCACAAAATTTTGTTTATAAAATGAAAACTGAGTAAACTTGAACGAAGCTTAAAGAAGCAACTTAAAATATGGGTACATCAACTTAAATATTCTTTAATATTTATTTGTACATGCATTTGCCAGATATCCTAAATAACATACCTCAAGACATTGAGTGTGCTTTGATATTACAGCGTTTGGTGTAAAAATAAATGGTTTAAAAACCGATTTTGATGTATCTGGTGTTCCAGTGAACCAATGAACACTTGGTTTATTATTAGTTAACGTAGAGACCTTAAAGTTAAAAATTCAAAAAATAAATTAGTTTTAGTTACTCAATTTTTACTTGGCTACTTTGTGTAGGGAAAGCATCATTACAAGATCTGCAAATATCAGATTCAGTATCCCTTAATATAGTAAACATATCAGTTTCCCTAAAATTGTTTGCAGAAGAATGTTTTTCTAACAATTTTTGTCCTGCTTTATATCTATTACCCAGATCTCCACTACCTCCAAATACTAAGGCAAAATTAAACTCATCCTTAAAAAAGTACAAATGGTTACTTATACTCTATACAACAATTGCTAGATGCAAAAGGAGACATGTCAATTTTTACAAAATTAAATTGGACTGAATAGCTTTTGCATCTACAAAATGCTTTGAAATTTGTGGGGTTATGAATTAAGTTAGAGACTTACACTTCCATTCCATAAACCTTTGGATTTAGCATAATCTATTAATCCCTCAGATGATCGATCAATTTTATTTGTTATTGATAAATTGTTAGAAATATTTCTATAACCACCTACAGAAAATCAATTTTAGTTTTTATTAATTAATAAATTAAACATACATCCCAACATAGATCTGTGATGGCCAACAATTTTTCTTTTATATAATATTGATTTAAAGACATATTATGATTAAGTACCTATACTTTTAACTATAAAAAAACAAATATTAAAAGTTCACAGATAAAATGGTGTTTTATAACCCTCTAAATAAACCCTTGCCCCAACGATTACTTAAAGACAAATAATTGGTTAGTTACACTAGTCTACAAGGTTTTGGACTGGATCAACCAGAGAAAGTAATTTCATGTGCTGAGTTCGAATCTGTAATCACTCAATCAGGTCAGGTTTTCAAAAAAAAATTACTTAAAAACAAGATTAAAAATTAAGAAGATAGAGAAGAAATACTTTATGTATGAACGCAAGTAAATTAAATTAAACTAAATTACATTACTTTTTTAAAGTTAAATTAAATTTTGTTACATTATTTCTCTGTTAGAACCCACCTTAAGACTTTAAAACTTACTAGTCACTTGTTCAGCTGCCCAATGCTTCCCATTTGTTTCCAAGACCCAAGCAGTATTTGGATCAGCAATTAAAAATGAATTATAATAACTAAACTCAGCATCAGTGTTGGAACAAGGCCCACCCTGTCCATATTTCTCTAATAAACTTGTTATGACCTCTAAGGCCTCTGTAGCATTGCTGCTACGTTCCAAGCCCAGTCTAAAATGTTATTTAATGTTAGAACACATAAATAACTTAATAATGTTATAATTTACCTTACAAGATCCATCCCAAGTAATTTTTTTTCATTTTCATCGCCCATATCCTTGGTCCATATTGCTTCATTTCCAATTGCTACCCCACATTCATTAGAGCCCATTTCAGCACCCCACATCCAATTGGGTTTGCTTAAAATTACAGCCTTAGTGTTTCCTGAAGATTCTACCTCAATATAAGTACACTAAAATTAAGTATTAATTATTTTATATTAACCAGGACTGTTTTAATTACTTTAACAGGCTCTGATGAGGTTGTGGCTGGCACATAGACAATTTCTTGGACCTCTCCTTGAGGCCTATCCGAATTTTTACCAAAAACCACCCCATTTTTCGTGTGGTTTTGCAAGACAACAAAAGTATCACAAGAAACAAGTTTCTCCATGCTAAAACAATTGGGTCGTTTATTTGACAGCTGCTGTTCAATTGTTTCAAGAGCCGGGCAAACTTTAGGTTATAAACAAATTTAATCAATTCAAATTAATAAATTTTATCACAATGCAAATACTTAGTAATAGTAGGTATATTGATAAATATTAATCCTAATTAAATAAACACTTACTTTGCCAAAGAGATTCACTGGTAACTGTATAATCTATAGAATAGGACAAAAAAGTAATGCCAATAGTCTGAGTCAGCTTTTCCCAGCTGGATGCAGTGTTGCCACTCTATTGTGGCAATCTGTCATACGCTCAGGAATAAAATATCTCACATTTTGCCTCCAACTTTAAATTATATTCATTTACCGCCGGGTGCAGTTGGTAGCAGACATGGTACAAGAAGTTTTTTGTACCATGCATGGTACCATGGTAGGGATAAGGGAGAGAGAAACGAACTATTCCCATATAAACATTGAAAACAATAAATATGGCGCCCTCGTCGGGGGCTGCGAAAACTAGCACAAGGGGATATGCCGCGCATGACGTCACTTGAAGAGTAGTTGCCGTGCGAATACACGAATAATAGTAATATTATCAGAGATATTATCAAAGAGAAATATCTGGACATAGTGTGTTTTTATTAAAATTAATATTGAAGAAAGTGTTATAACATTGAGTAAAGTGTGTCCTTTACTCAATGGTTATAATATGGATAATAGATGCTTTTAGTCCTTGATATCATTTAGGGCTGTAGTTTAAGCGTTGGTGTTTTAAATTAAACTTATAGCCATGGCACTGTCCAGAAAATGTTTGTAGGAAACAGAAGCGGTCTTAACGTTAATATTGTCTATTCTTTTTGTTGCATTTAACCACTGTTTCCACGATATCCCTCGAATCTGGATATATCCCTCAAGGTGGCAACACTGGCTGGATGGAATCACCATTGAACTAGTGTTATGGACATACTTTCAAAACATACTTTTCTTAATCCAATATCACACTCGTCGAGTGACAATTCTATATCACTACGTAACGTTTGTCTTAGATCGATAACTTTTCATCTCGAAATAAGAACAGCGGCGTATCTATCCATGAGCAAGTGGTTTCATTAGAAATTGATAAAAATAATGTTTTTCGTTTTTTTGCACCCTAGGATAAAACGTAGCCAATTATGTCTTGGAGCCGGATTCTTTTTAGTCCCTCAACACGAGTATAACAAAAAATAACAAACAAAAATAAACACGAGTTTTAAATATAAAACCGATTAATCTTGATTAAATGAAATAATTTATAAAACTTTAACTTTAGGAAACTTAGATATGTGGATTTTGGATATTAGTAAAAAAATGATCCGAATCTGCAATAAAAAAATAGGTTGTTTTATTGGAAATTGTAAAGTTACCCCATGCCCTATTTATTTCCCCCCTCGAATCATTTTATTTTGATTTTAATTTTTTTTTTGTAAAATGCCTATTTACTGAGATATTTCAGTTTCAAGTTAAATGACCCTGTATATATAACCTATATCTATTATAATACGTATTACAATTATAAATACTACCAAACACTTTTTGAATATTAAATCAGTCCTTTAATTAATTAAAATAATTATTTATATAATAGGTACATTTTATGAGTTTGTTTTTACGACTTTACAACTTTAGATCCCTATGCCTAACTAATGTAATTTTTTTTTAAATACCTATAATCAGATGTACATCTGATTATATTTAAAAAAAAATACATTAGTTAGGCATATGGATCTAAAGTTGTAAAGTCGTAAAAACAAACTCATAAAATGTACCTATTATATAAATAATTATTTTAATTAATTAAAGGACTGATTTAATATTCAAAAAGTGTTTGGTAGTATTTATAATTGTATTATTATAATATTTTACACATTAGAAAGAATTTTGGTCCCCGTTATTTTCCTCCTTGGGACGCCTATGTCTAACGCTCACTGCGCAGGTCACCGATATACGTTGAAAACCACACTATTTTACTATTTCATAAAATCCGTCCCTTAAAAGTGAGCCAGCGTAACAGTCGCTGACATAGCTTGGTTGTTCTGTGGTGGGTTATTTTTTATAAGTTAAAGGTGGAAAATGGCTCTTTTTCGTATATCAGCAACTACTACCCAGGTATGTTATTTCTAAACTTAAAAAAATAAATGAAAATTATAAAAGTGCCCAGAAGGCACTTCCCTCCAAAATGTCCTAATTTGCGGTGATTTATTTTTTTCCAAAATTTTGTGTGTCAAGTATTTTTGATGATTTTCTCGAAATTAATGACCTTGGAGGAAAGCGTCATTTGGTTTTTCATATAAAAGAGAGCGGCAATCCAAGAAGGATATACCTTAAGAGTTACCACGTGCTGGAAGTAATTCACTCTTTAAACATGTTATATAATTACTACTACTGGACTTAAAAAAATCATTACGTTACGTAATTTACGTATGAATTTTAGAGGTTATAAGGACGAGATCAAAGACAGTTAAAAACAAAAGAAGATCATATATTTATAAGAGACATTTATTTTTATAGATATACTTATTCGTTTAATAAATACCTAACGGTACCTACATTTTTATTTTGGAATTTAATTAATTTAAACGTGTTTTCATTTATAAAATCGGATTAGGGTAACATACTGTTAATAACAGTGACGATTTACAAGGACGCTTTATCTCGTGATTTTTATGTAATACCTAGAATGGAAAACAAAGATTTACCTTTCTTTATTTACCTGCCTATTATACCTACCTAGGCAGGTAAATACCTACAGGTATACCTAGAAAAATATAAGTAACTTATTTATTATTTAATTGTTGTATTCATTCATTCAGGTATGTAAGTATACCTACATTAACTTTTTTATTTAACTCCAGATCAGTTCCTAGGTATATACAAAGTTGTTAGGTAACACACTCAGTAACACATTATAGAAAATTGTACATTAGGTATAGGCGGAGAAACCTCTGATTTATAGACTAGCTCAGTGTTAGCCGCCGAGGCTGCGAATCCAAACGAGGCAGACCTATGCTTTCTACGCCGTGTTATATGCAGAGTTTTCTAAAATCACCGGACCAAACGAAGGGGGTCGATTCCTTGTGAAAATCTAGGACAAAATATGATTTTTTAGAATTCACAAAATTGCAGGGGGTATTTAATTTTTAAGAACGCCTAAAATTTGTACGATCACAAAATTGGCGCCCCATTCCTTCTAAAATTTTAAGACGAGTTTTTCTTTACCATTTTATAAAAATCACTAAATTGCAGAAGTTACTTAATTTTTAAGGCCGCCAATGAGAACGCAGTGTTTCTTCTCTATCGGACAAGCCCCGCCTTTTGACTCAGCGCTTGCGACAAGACGCACCGAATTGGTTTTTGTTTGCTTTTTTCCAATGATAGAATATTATTATTAAATATGAATCCTGAAATTTAGCGAATTTTAAAAAATGTACCTACACACTGTAGCGTATTGACATTGGAATTCTCGGAATTGAGATTTGGAATTGCGACAGGTAGTGTTGGCGTGCATAAATTTATTTTATAGTGACCTGTAATTGTACACGTATACTGAAGTTATGTACACTTATTTTAAGCTAAATAAGATAGATGGAACCACTCTTCCTATGCAATTTCAGTGTATTTTCATTATTGTGTATTAGGGATGCACCGGATCGGGTATTTTGCCGATCCGGCCGGAACCGGAATTTTGGCCGCTGGCCGGACCGGATCGCCGGAATTCCGGCCGGATCGGGAACTAAATTTAAAATGTATGTGCATGCCTATTTTTATACGTAAAACATTGAAAATATTGAGGCTGATTTATTTTTACTAGCTACAGTATGCAGAGTGTTTATTAGTATTAATTTTACCTAGATAGAAATTACTGTTTATTTAAATATTAATTTTTAATAAGCGTTAAAAAAATTAAAACAATTCTACTCATTCAATTGGAGAATAGCAACCACCTGCCAATAATAAAAAAATAAAAAGAAGTCGGGGAACCACAGCCGCCGGTCTATCATAGGCAAGGAAACACGCACACCCTTCTCTGTTGACCAATTACAAAATATATCTCAGGGTTCCCTCTCACCTGGAAATCCTTGAAAACCTGGAATAGTCAGGGAATCCGTTTAAGTCCAATAAAATCAGGGAAAAGTCAGGGAATTTTGAAAGTCAGCGCAATAGTCAGGGAATTTGTTAATATTATGGTAAAAGTCAGGGAAATTTATAAAACGGCTTGTTTTCTGACACTTTTTCGTTGAAAGTCGCCGTATTGGCAACACTGGTATCGTAAACAATTGTTTTCGTACGGCGCCGCCATAACGGCGGTAATTATCAAGGGTTTTACACAAAAAAATTTTACACACTAAAAAATCGCAAAGCAATGCACCTGATAAACAAACGAACAATTAACAATAATTAAAACAATTGTCATAATTAATTTTAAATTGTTAAAGTTTGTTGTGCATTGCTTTGATGAATATGGTATATTTGTATAAATGTATACCAAAGAATGTTTTTTATGTTTGTACCAAAGAATCTATTTTATGTTAAACTGTTTTTATTAAAATTTTATTTTAATTTTTATTATAATATTTAATTTTTAAATAAATATTAACAAAAATAAACGCTATTTTTGACTTAACATAATTCTGATGGGACACTATTTTGGGAGATAATTGTCTTTCTTTTATTTATCTGGAATTATAGGGACTTTGGTCAGGGAAAACCTGGAAAAGTCAGGGAATTTTAAATGGTTTTAAAAGAGGGAACCCTGTATCTGGTCGAAAGTCGGGGCATCCCAGACGCGAAAGTCGGGGAATCACAGACGCGAAAGTCGGGAAATCCCAGACGCCTGCTAATCATAAGCAAAGGCACAGGGCTGCACACATACCACATAGACTGAACGATGCCTATTCCGTATCATTGAAACAAGTGAAGCCGCTTTCGCGGAGTGCGGGGAATGGTATGCGCAAGGCGTGGCTATGTTTTCACCAGAGTTGTCTTCAGTTTATTTACGATTTATGTCTCGTAGAAGAGTTTAATTTATAATATTTTTATATTATATAGGTGATATTTATACATTATTGCATTGCATCCCTAATATATATCACATATAGACATATGTATATGTTTTTTTAGATTTGTGATATTCACGTTACTCGGCCATTTTTGTCGCGTCCGTAATAATAAAAAATTGTGAGTAAAAGCTACCATAATTATATTAATTACTAAAGTAATATGTTGCAATAGTTGCCATAGTTATATTGCAAACATGTTATTATGCTTGTAATAATTAAGCTTTTAAGCTTAAAAGCTTGTAAGCATAATAATTATGGTAGTTTTTACATCAATTTTTTATTATTACGGACGCAGCAAAAATTGCCGGGTATACGTTATAACGTGGTATTGCTCAAAACCAAGCGACATATAGCCCTTTTTGGTAAACCATTTTTATTATTTTTGTTGAGTTTACTTTAGTGAAATTGTCCAAAAATACCATTAAATTGGTAAAATTATTGTACCAGAAGCCTTTAAATTGAATGTATCAAAATGCCGGGGGGTTCGAAGCCCCCCCGAAATGTGAGAAGCTTTATTTTTATAATTGATTATAATATTTTTGTAATTCGAGAAAATTTCCACCTGAAACTCTTAAATATTTTTTTATTTGAATACCTCAGGAAGGTCAACTTGTTTAAATAATAGTTTTTTTAACGTTATCTTTCATTTTACACGTATTTATAACTCGATAAGTGTTTATAAACCAGAATTAATGTAAATTTTCATCGACTTATGACATCAGTTTTATTCTGTTTTAATTTTTGTAATAAACTTTCTTTAATATATTAACACTTTAGTACATACTCTTAACTTTTAGAAAAATTTGTTAATATTTTTGTGCTTTAATTTTTTAAATTGCTTAAATGAATCCAATTTAAAAAAAAATTATTTAAAACCCACATTATTTTAGCAATGTGTCATTTGTATAAAATAAACTCAATTTAAAATATACCATCATTTTCACACATACAAATAAGTACATACCTAATTAATAATTTTATCTAATAACATTGTTTTTAGGAAATAATGCTGTCAATCAATACCTACCTACTATTTTAAAGTTATATAATTTTAGTTCATACAATCGAAAGTATAGCGTAAACACCCTGACCTTAGATCGGGACAGTTTAGAGGCCATGTAATTCATTTACTGTTTATATGTAATTGTTTGCGTGTAGAAGTGCAAATTTATTGCATGTGACCACAGAATGGTTCTGTGCATGTGAAATATGAAATGTTAAAATAAACAGGGTAGGCCGAATTCTACCTAAAAAAATGGTTACCTAAAAATATCCTTTTTACCTTAGAATATGTTTTAAAATAATTAAAAACCCTATCATTAAGATAATTATCTTTTTAATAATTGGACGCCTTTCTGCAGAAAGGAACCAACCCACAAAACCAAAAAAATCGAGATATTTAGCCTATGAACTAATTAAGTATGTATAATTTATCTGCAAAATAGGTCATAGCCAAAATGCAAGTGTAGTGAAATCTATTAATCATTGAACCAACCAACATTCAATAATAGTGTGGATTACTAATCCAGAATTTGAATCTGTAGAATATCTGCAAGTGGGTTGGATCTTTTTTGTAAAAAAGCAGCTGGTAGACCCACTACCAAAGTCTTTAAAGATTTCCTGCTTCTGCAAAATATAAAGTCTTGATGCATTTTTTTGGTAGCTTACAAGATGAGGTGGGGTTGGAAGATGATGTGGACGAATTTCAAATAGAATCAAAATTAATTCATATTACCATTATAATAGTAATATCAGTTGTATTTTGTTTGGAAATAAATAATTGTCGCTTTTCTTTAAATACATACATACATCAGATAGTAGTTTTCATAAATTGCAGAAAGGAACCAACCAACAAAAGCCCATTTTTTCGTCACCCTTACACATAACATCACAAAATCCACCTGATTAAATTATTAAATTATATTCCTTAAACCTCCGTAAGTCCAAAATCGGCATAAAATGAACAGGTAATTTTAAAATTATTAAAATCTTTGATAGCTTTTTTCTCAGTTTCATCATGGTGTGGGTTGGTCCCATTCTGCAGAAAGCCGTCCAATTGTTTCAACCATATTTTGGCATCAAAAACTATATTATTTTATATAGGTACCTACATGGTTTTCTGAAAATGGCGCACTAACACTATAGGATACGGTGGGGATTATTTACGTACTACATAAGATATGGATTATTTTGAGTATGAAAATTACCATATTGGTAGTTTTTAAGTTGTAAGGTTTTTAGTATTTTATTTTAATAATTTTAAAAATTCTTATAAAAGCCAGATAGAAGCCATATAGAATCCAGATACGGTTTTTTTATATGGTTCTATATGGCATTTTCAATAGGGATGTTGTGTCCTGGTTGGTAACCTTAATATATTCACAGTTTACATTTAGAGTGATATTAATATCTCATGGCGGTTGTCCTTGAGAGACGCTATAATATTATAACAAATATAATAGAATTTCTAGCCCAGAAATTCTTCTAAATATGTCAATAAATATCAGCATTGTTTAGCATATGTAGTATGTTTTTAGGTCGGCGAGTAATAGCGCGATTTGACGGATTTGAGACTTTCCGCCATTAGACAAAACGTGTATTTCCAAAGTAGTCTTGAAACATCCACTAAACTGTTTGGATAAATCCATCAAGGCCTTGTTTAAAAGTTTAAAGCCAGGGATATTATCAATAAATAGGATTGTATTTTTACGACGCGACGGGTCAAATAAGTCACGAATATTTCACACTGTTTCATTAAGCAGATCCGAACACCACCAAAGACAAAGTCAAACTGTTACCAAAAACCACATGGCGTTTTTTTAACGAGTTGTAGGCTACAACTTGTAGCACGAAAATTCAAATCCAAAGTTTGGATTCCAAAAACTGATGACATAAAAACCATGACATGATTTTCATTTCTCACGTATGATATCCGTATGGCACGAAAATTTAAATCCAAACACTGATGACATAAAAAATCACGACATGATTTTCATTTCCCAAGTATGATATCCGTATGGCACGAAAATTTACGTGGGAAGTCTGAATAAAATTCGTGAGATTCACGACGTTACGTTCGTATGTAAATCACGAATATTGTCCTAGTATATATGCGCACGGGTTGTTTGTATCTCAATAGCATACAGCGGCGTAACTAGAAAAAGTGCCGCCCGGGGCAGCAGTGGCTGTCGCCCTCATGTTTTTTTTTGGGGGGGGAGAGAGGTTAGGTTAGGAGTCAGTTTTGAGGACCGTACGCAAAATTATTGGTAACTTATGTCGGCGGTAGACTGATTACTCATCAAAGGTACAATACCGGTCTTGTTTCTATTTTTTGCTAGCTTTATTTGATTTGGAATATTTTGGGAGTAATTGTATAAATCTCAAATGTATTGGAATTTGAATTATATTATTTCGAAAGAGAATACTTAATTATCAAATATTTTTTTTATTTTTATATTCTGTCTTCCAGTTTTTTTCGCATTCTCTCTCACGATTTTTGCCGCCCCAAGAAGTGCCGCCCGGGGCGGACCGCCCCCCCCCGCCCCCCCCCCCTAGTTACGCTACTGATAGCATACTTTGGTGTTAGTGCACCATTTTCGGGACACTCTATATATTAGCAATAACATTGTATAGCTCATTCTTCTGTGTAAGTACTTTAAATTCTTGAAATATCTTAATTGAGCTACGGTAAAAAAAAATTAACTAAATTAGTTAGGTAAATTGTTTTTGGATTATTTTTTAAAATATATTGTATGGATAAAAAATATTACAAACTTCTATTCTAAGAAATAAAATTTAAATTTTCCTCGTAAAAATTATTAAAGTTTGATTTTAGACTCGTACAATTTATCTACTTGTCTAAACCGGGTTTCCCCCTTAACACAAAACGATAAGTATTTGGGTCAAGATTCATGTTTCAGTGCATCATTGTTTACAAGATTTTTATTTTATGTACTTATACTACAGTGTCAACAATAAAATTATTAAACCGTATATTTATTTGAATAAATGATGCTTTTAAAATACATTTTGGCTAGCATTTATCGAGAAATTTAACCATTAATTAAATTTAAATGTTTTTATATTTTCATTCGAAAATTATCTTCGCACGCAAGTTCCAAAGGTCTGCGAACGTATATTGAATCTATTTTAAGTTTAGTGTTTACAACATCTTGAAATGAGCTGCCAATTTTTTAAAATTTCAAAAAATATTCCAATAAATTGTCCTGGGAGACAAACTTAAAATAAAAATATTTTATTTTTTTACAGTTTTGATCATAAATTTTATTGCATCTTTTTTTATTTATATTACTGTTTGGTAATTTAAATATTTATACTTTGCCCAATAGTTTTTATCTTTAATTATCTTCTTGTACTTTTTGGCGCCATCTAATTTAGTTGTAAATTTTTGGCAATGATTTGATATTTGTAACCCATTAACTATACAATTACAATCATCGATAGGAAATCTAAATGTAGAAAATTAATGATTATTCAATTAACTTCCAGTGCCAATGTAATGTATATTTTATGTAATGGTACATAAATTATTAATTTGTATATTTTTACACTTTTTATTTTGACTGAAGCTATAGCTATGGCTAATGTACAAATGACTTAAAGACAGACTAAGGGGATCAATAGTTATGTCGGAAAAGTGCACACTAAAAAACGAAAATATTTCTATTTCAACAATGAACATTTTTATACAATTTTTCTGCATTAAATATTTAAAGTTAGTTAGATTTAAACTTATTACCGGTTTTATAGTTAGGTAATATGCCAGTCAGTATTTTATTCTTGAAGAATTTCTTAGAGCTGGTGCGTATGAACTTGAACTTTAAATATATGTATTAGGTAACCAGACTTTTAATACGTAAGCTTTAATCTTGATAAAAAGTGTAAATTTTATTAAAAATATATTTAATATTAGGAATCTCCATTGTTACCTATCTAGGTAATTATTTACTTAAATAGATCACATACTTTGTGATAAACCCTTTTAATTTATACAAATAAAATTTTCCGATAACATTGTTTGTGCTTTTAATGCCACTTAAGAATGTTTCGTTAATTTATATGAAAATAATATATATTTCAGTGATTTATAATTTAATTTTTTTCAGAAATTCATACCACAGGCTTCAGTCATCTTAAGACAACTCAGTGATGCTTCAACTGATCTCAAAGCAGTACTTGCAACCCAAATCCCTAAGGAACAAGAACGCGTGAAAAATTTCAGGAAAAACCATGGATCCGCCAAAGTTGGTGAAATCACCGTTGACATGGTAAGGCAAAAGTTATTTAAAATTTAAAAAAATAGGTGACAAATAAACCTTGAATTGTAATCTATAGATATAGTATACTTACACTAAACTGAGTTTAGTAAACTCTATTTAATTTACCTATTTAATATTGTTATAAAATATTGTAAATTTTACAATAAAAACACTGTTTAAGTAGAAAATGCCACTAAAAAATTCGTGTTGATACTCATTTTGTAAAGTTGAGTGATTTTATTATGGCATTTTTTTTCATTTTTCAGGTCGAAAAATATTTTGCAAAAAGCGTAAAAAATTACTATTAAAAAACATCTTTTAAAAATGCATTTAATGGTTATTTATGTCATAAGGCCAAGAAGTGAGTCTTTTTGTGCTGAGCTCAAAGTTTGAAGGCCGACGCGAAGCGTAGGCATAAGTATAACATTTTATCTTCAATTGTTTTTCAGAATTTAAATCGAACTTCACTGATTAAACAATACAAAACGTACAATTTATCTTCAATTGTTTTTCAGAATTTAAATCGAACTTCACTGATTTGTTTAATACAAAACGTACAATTATTAAAAGTAAAAAGTGAGGTTGGAACCGTCTGACAGATGTCTAATTTTATGATTGGATAAGAGGGGAGAAAGTTTCTCCCAATTTTAAACCCGATTGGTCCAAATCACAGTAAATAATGAAATTAGCTAATAACTGATAAGTGACGCCTAGCAACTAATTACTAGCATTATAAAATGTTTTATCTGTTTACTGTAATTTTTTTGTGTCTACTTCATCATCAATCACTTGCATTAAAGTTTAATTTATTTTTTATTTATTCTTGATAAACACAATCCTTTAAAATCGACTTTGACGCATATGGTTCAGGCAATAAAAAATGGCCAATAATCATTCAACATTACAAAATGGGTAGGTTTCAATACCAAAATTAAGTGGAGTAGTGCAATTGCATAGAAAACGGAAAAAGTTTCAAAAACTACCACAGAGTAATGCGCTTAAAATTAGAACATTGTATAATTCAATGCATGAAACAAAGATTAAAGCGATTTTTTGGTTTGCGGGTCAAACTTGTGTTTAAAGTTCCTGGGTACAAAATTTATCTAACAAAAACAAATATCTTGTTGCCGAATTAAACATATATTTATTCACGTGGAACCATACTCTTACATGCGTGTAATAACAATAATAATCTACTATAAAAAATCCGTTAATAAAAATTGTTAAAAATTAATCCTAAATAAATTATATAAAAATTGTTTGTTTTTCAAGGTTGTTTAACTTTGGTAAACAATTTAATTTTACAATAAACAAACATTAACTACTTTTTAAAATTATTTTTTGTTTAGATGTACGGAGGTATGAGAGGCATCAAAGGTTTAGTATGTGAAACCTCCGTGCTTGACCCTGATGAGGGTATCAGATTCAGAGGCCTTTCCATCCCAGAATGCCAAAAAGTCCTTCCAAAGGCTCCGGGCGGAAGCGAACCACTTCCAGAAGGTCTTTTCTGGCTCCTCATCACCGGCGATGTACCAACTGAAGCTCAGGTAAAAATAAATAAAAATAATGCAATTTTTTTTCATACTTTACTTTTCAAATCATATCATGATAAATTGCGAAATTTCGCATTTACGCATTGACCTTCATTAAGATTTGACATTAACATTAATGGCGACTTTTTTATCATGCTTCCTAAAATGTAACCTTTTTGTCATTCATCTAATCACACATTGCGATAATACGCATAATATACTAGGTCAAGAACAATTTTGACATTTTATTTTTTGTGATAGGTTAAAGCTATTTCCAAAGAATGGGCCGAAAGGGCTGAATTACCCGCTCACGTTGTAACTCTTTTGAACAACATTCCCAGCACCGTTCACCCCATGTCTCAACTTTCTGCTGCTATAACAGCTCTTAATAGCGAGAGCAAATACGCTAAGGCCTACTCCAGCGGGGTACACAAATCCAAATACTGGGAAGTAAGTATCTCAACCTAGAGCGCCTGTATATTTTTTGTTAAGGAATTCATTTTCCAGCTAAACAAATATTACGGTTTAATCAAAGGCTTTTACCACCAATTCCTGATTGCGTAGGTATAGGCAAAAATTTATTTTTAAAACTTAATATGGAGTATACTAAGTATAAGTCTTATATTATAAGTATACTAAAAGTGTGTACAAAATTTCAGCTCAATCGGAAAGACAAGAAAAGCTTGTAAAATAGTCAAAAACTTTTTTGTGATTATTTTTCATGCATATTTCTCTACTCTCCTCTAAAAATTAGTTTTAAAGTAATAAATTGATCATGAATAAATTTAACATGTTTTAATTTATTAAAAAATAACTAAACTGCGCACCACTCAATGTGTCGCGACCAAAAAGTTCGTTCTTTTTCAAAACGACATAACTTTTTTGTTTCTTGAACGATTTTATTTTGGTCTGTGATGTCTGCTAGCCTCATCCTCTGGCAATTCATGCTATAGATATGAAGCTCACGGTTCGTCAAGTAAATTTCCTACAGGGTGATATGTTAAACGGTGAAAAATTTCAATAACATCATCCAAGCCCCGTTTGTAAAAAAATAATTTTTTTCTCGTTTTTATTTTGAAATAATGAAGTATTATGTGTTACCTTGATACGTTTTTCAAGTTTTTCGAATTGGAATCTTAGCAACGACGATTTGATTTTTTTTCGGATTTTATTAAGACATTTAACCGCCGGGAATTGTTTTCCAATTTTGATTCTTGGAGATTTTGGTTTTATCTGAAACTTAAATTTGACAACTGAATCACAATCAGGAGGTCAAAATTATAAAGAAAACATGTCACGAACGTAAATATCGGTTCAGGTTTAGTTTCCGAAAATTTTCAGCAAAATGTCATTTTGAAAAATAATGGAAGTTTATTGCTTGTCGCTTGTTTAGAATTATTCAAGGAACAATCTTTTACCATCTTATTTTCTTGTTGTTAAAAAGACTGAGTGTATTGCCTACCAAAAAGCCCTAAATGTACTCTTTTTTAAAAAAAAATCAGATTCCAATTCGAAAAATTTGAAAACCTTTTCAAGAAAAAATATTTCTTTTTTTAAACGGGGCTTGGATGAAGTTAGTGAAATTTTTCACCGTTTTACATCACCCTGTGGGAAATTTACTTGAAGAACCGTGGGCTTAATATCTATAGCATGAATGCCAGAGGATGGGGTTAGCAGACATCACAAACCAAAATAAAATCATTCAAGAAACAAAAAAGTTATGCCGTTTTGAAAAAGGACGAACTTTTTGATCGCGACACATTGAGTGGTGCGCAGTTTATATTAAGCAAAAGTCTTGATAATTAAAATAAGTGTTAAAAATTAATTTCTTCTGTATAAAAAAGAGCGCGAGCAGTCTGGCAGAATAAACTAAATGTTAAAATGATTATAATCAAAAAATATACAGAAAATCTACTCCAACCCACAAAACCTAGTACACAAACTAAACATATAATTTCCTTAGTACGTCTATGAAGACTCCATGGACCTCATTGCCAAATTGCCAGTGATCGCCGCCACCATCTACCGTAACACCTACAGGGACGGCTCTGGCATCGGCGCCATCGATACTTCCAAAGATTGGAGTTACAACTTTACCCAAATGTTGGGTTATGACAACCCTGAGTTCATCGAACTCATGAGGCTGTACCTCACCATCCACAGCGATCACGAAGGTGGTAATGTATCCGCCCACACTGTTCACTTGGTAGGATCCGCTTTAAGCGACCCCTACCTGTCCTTTGCCGCTGGTATGAATGGATTGGCTGGTCCACTCCACGGTCTTGCTAACCAAGAAGTAAGAAAATATTACAGGGAAAGTTATCAATGATAATAATAATGTTTTTTTATGAATAGGTACTTGTTTGGTTGCAAAAGATCCGTCAACAAATCGGCGACAAAGCCACCGAAGAACAGTTGAAGGACTTTATCTGGAAAACATTGAAATCTGGACAAGTTGTACCTGGTTATGGACACGCTGTATTGAGGAAAACTGATCCACGATACACCTGCCAAAGAGAGTTCGCTCTTAAACATTTGCCAAACGACCCACTCTTCCAATTGGTATCCAACATCTACAAGGTAGTACCCCCAATCCTTTTGGAACTTGGCAAGGTCAAGAACCCATGGCCCAATGTAGATGCCCACTCTGGTGTTCTTCTTCAGGTAAATACCCTTGCAAAAAAGAAAATGAGGCAAACATAAACATTATTTTCCATTTTCAGTATTATGGACTTAAAGAAATGAACTACTACACTGTACTTTTTGGAGTGTCCAGAGCTCTTGGAGTTTTGGCATCATTGATCTGGGACCGTGCTCTTGGACTTCCAATTGAAAGACCCAAGTCCATGTCCACCAACTGCTTGATGAAAGCACTTAAAGCCCAATAATTGTTTAGGCAAAATGTGTGTGAAAACTGATTCATTGCAAAATAAGCTTGTGGTGGGGTTGTTTAATGCATTGTAAGACCGGTTCTACCTCTCACAAGTGTACTTTTAACGTAATATCTCACGATCAAGTAAATAATAATAATTTAACCTACAGAGTAATGCATTGGGTCAAGTTTTTATTTTTAATGTATGTGATTTATTCATTTATGTTTCAAAATTTTCGCGATCATTGACATTAAATCTGGTACCATTTCTTTCAGTTATAATTAATTAAATGGAAATCTTCTTTTTCAAACTTAATATTTTTTATTTATTTATACATATTTATAAAAATCTTATTTAAAAGAGTCCAGTATGTTCGCAGATAAACATACATTCGTTCCTTATGTTGTAAAATATCTTTTTTAGTGCCGTGTATTTATTTTTTGAGTTATGTTGATTCTTTAGTTTTTAGATACTTAAGACTAATAGATGTACAGTTCAGTGTGTAAGTTTATTTGTTATGTATGAACTGTTCATCAAAGATGACGTGTTAATTGACATCCTCAACTTTAATGAAACACGTTCTATTTGTTAAATAACGACAATACCATGCGTAACGCATGTTTTTAGAGATAATCAAAGAATATGTCACATAGAAAATCAAGTTATAATTGGTTTATAATAATTTAATCAGCATTGTACTTGTTAGCAGAAGTTTTACAAAAAATAAAAAGTTACGCTCAAAAATCGGCCTTTATTTTATTACCCTCTGCCAAGGGCGTGGATAGGATTTTGTTCAGGAAGGGGCAGGCAAGGGAAAACTAATAATATTCATGCTACATAACCGTTTAAAGACTACACCTGCAATTTTGTTTTTTTTTGCTAGGAAGGCAGTTGCCCTCTGCCTACGCCCTTGCCCTCTTCTGTCTTTTTATAAAATATTAGATAGATAAATAAATAACAGCAAATGCAGACTAAATATAAACAATTTTGTTCATAATAGGAATAAATTATCTGCGCGGACCTTATATTTAAACAAAGCTCTAAACATGTGACGCGGACATAGAAATTCATATTTTTTAAGTAAATGTTTTGCTATTAATAGCAAAATGTGTTTACTTTGTTTAAAAAATATTTTAATGGCATGTGAATAGAAATTAAAACCAAAAGTAAATTGTCTAATTATGCATAATTAAATTATTTTAACACAAATGTTTTATTGTTAATTGTGCATATATGGAACGTGATCTGTTAAATAAAATCGATAACAAAAAAATCATTAATAAACTCGGTTTATCCAGTGGGTTGATGCAAAAAACATTAAACTATCCTGATGCCTAAAACGTTTTTTCTAATTCTGTTTTATTTTAGAATATTTTGTTTTCGTTTTGTTAAAAAAATAATGAAACATTTTTTTCTTATTGTTTTATTTTTATTTTAAGTACCTACCTAGGTAATTGTTTTTTTACCATTTGAATATATTTTTTGTTAGATGGATTTTTTGAAATGTTGCTTATACCGTAAACATTCCCTCTTAAGAGACGCTCGGGTCGAGAAATCCAGAGCCGGTCTGAACCACCCCATCCGCCCCTGGGCTTTACTGTAAATAATAATAATAATAATAATACTTTATTGGTGTCATTACAAAAAAAATATGTTTACACAGGTCTCAAAGCCTAAAATTGAATGAAATTAGGACAAAAACATATTAAAAATAAATTTTATGTAAACCAGTCTCTCTAAAAATGAATTACTCAAATAGGACTAATTGTCATAGCGAAAAAAACAGCCACTAATAATTCCCTTCATTGAAGGGCCTTCAATAGCAATCATTTATCAGCATTTGGCGGTCAATTTTCATGTAAAATTGCCCCTGAATTAAAAAATGTTAGAAAAGTATAATAGTTTTTGAGATAGTCAATTTTCCATATAATATGGAATTGGCTATATCACAAAACCTGATCTACTTTAATAATTTTACTTTATTTTCGGATGCACGGGACAATTTTACATAATAATTGGATTTTAAATGTTGGGGATACCATGGTATCCCATGGTTAATCATAGTATAAGTAAAAAAGCAGCAACTAATAACTGTAGTAGCTAGTCATTTTTGACTAATTCATTTTTAGGTACTTATAGTAAACTAAAACTACGATAAAGTTATACTTATCTATACTGACTTTATCATAGACCTATATACTAAAACTGTATCATGGACCACTTATATCTTAAAAATTGACAACGTCAAAAATTTAATAAAATGTTTTTTTTTATAATTTGTCTACTGCATCAAAACTAAAATAAAAAAATGCAGTCACTAACAGATCAAGAAGATCGCGATGAAAATCCTAGAAAAAAAGCCAATATATTTTCTATTATATTTTTTCTGTAAGTACTTACTTACCTACGTATGTATACGTAGGTTTTTCTATAAATAACTTTATTTAATTAATAAATTTATGTAAAATTAAAGATATGCAATACCAACATATCGTCTTGGTTTTAAAAAGGAAATTGATGAATACGACATAACAAAAACTTTGGAATCACAAAAATCGTCTTTTTTGGGCGACAAATTGGCTAGATTATGGTCACTGGAAGTAAGAAGAGCACGAAAAAAAAATAAAAAACCAAGCATGGTCAAAGTAGTTTTAAAATTCCTTAAAAAAGACCTTATAATCATGGGAACTATAACATTTTTAATGGAAACTATTGTGAGATTGTCACAGCCTTTTTGTGTTGGTTTGTACGTTAGATATTTTCTACAAACATCACATGAGAAGTAAGTTAAAAAATATAAAATAAGGGTGGGTCATTTGTTTTTAGAAATGCTGTTAAAATTTGAGGGGTTCATATTTAATTAAACATTTTAAGAAATCATTAGGTATAACTAGTAACATTATGCAGATGTGCATCTTTGCATTACAAACACTTTTCAAGACGACCTCAAATTTGTTAAAACTTGCTGGCACATTTTAGGATTTTTGGTCAAATTAAATCATACTACACAGAAAAAAAGGTAAAAAAAGGAAACAGGAAGTTCCTTGACGAATTACTAGTATATTACCAGTGGTATTATTCCAGAAAATTGAACCTCCAACTCGCTAGAAATAATGTTTTAGTGCGTTCCACCAAATTAAAATTCTTCAAGTATTGACAGCTGGGCGATTGCAAGCGCAATGTAATTTTTTCCATCAATTTTAAGCAGGGCACAATGAAACAAAAATATACCAAAGTTATTCATTAATGGTGAAATTAGTTGGAAAAACTAAAAATGTTTATCTCAGGGTACTTATTATTTAAAAAAATATGGTCAAAAATAAGCGATTTTCCGATGTTAAAATTTATATGCAAAGTAGCATTTTTATCAAGGTGGCTTTGACCTATAAACGTAAGTGACGCTTCCGAAAACGTCAGTTTTGATTAGACGCCACTATTAGTGAAAATATTCCTGATATTTTTTTTTGCAAGTAAGTAAACTGTTATGGAAATTTTAATTTATAATAATATTGTATATTTGTCCTATCAGTAACGAAATAATATGATAAGTTTTAATATCGCAAGTATGCAACTTGCCCAGTTTTTAATTAATAATAAAAATGTTTGTCCCTATGTCACATTTGCTTACGCGATAAAAATATATTGGTTTGCTGTCCCAAATTTTTGTATTTCTTTCTTTTAAAGTTGGTCCCGTCAGTAACGAAATGTGAATTTTTAGGATGGCAAAAAATAATGTGCTTGACAAAGAAAATACGAAGCGGCGGGTTAAAAAATATCGAAAAAATATTTATGAAAATCCTGTTTTAAAAAAGACTTACCTGTCTAAAAATGCTTCAAGCGCAAAAAAGTACAGAGAAAAATTAAAAAAGTTGGCGGAAAATGATAGTACGTTTAAAATGCAGCAAAAAATTAATGAAAGAGAAAGAAAAAGAAAGTTTAGAGAAAATAAAAAGCAGCAAACTGTTAAGAATATACCCTTCAAAACTCAAAGCTGTAAGAAGGGCAGACATGATGATGCCAAAAGAAAAAAACAAAAAAATTTGTGTTTTGACAAAAATATTAGAATCGCTAGATCCAAACTTAAAAGTTCAGAATATAGGAAAGACAGAAATAATAACAACAATGAATCCGTGGAACAAATTGTCCCCAGAAATAGTTGAAAAAGTTTTTATCTCAAAGAGGATATAAGTAGAGTTTCTCCTGGATTAAAAGATCGTGTAAAAATATAGACAAATGGATCTATTATTGAATATGCTCAAAAACGGCACATGGTCTACACAATTAAAGAGGCATAAACAATTTTTCAAGAAGAAAATCACGAAACGAAAATTCAAATTTTATGAGTTAAGGCCTGCGTTCGTTTTGCCAATCAGTGACACTCCTTACAACGTTTGTGTTTGCAAATATCATTCAAACATTTTATTTATTTTGGAAGCGTTTAGCAAACGCTTTAAAGCATTTCCGGATGATCATAAAAAGCTGATTTCTGAGATAACCTGTGACGTCGAAAGAGAAAATTGTATGATGAATGAATGTCCGGAGTGCAAAGAAATTTATATATTATTTTCCTGTATACAACCCAGAAGAGCCCATGCAAATCAAACAGTGGTCCACTATCGATGACAAAACAAAAACCATAATTCTGCTTGAAACAATCGAATCAGCAATTGAAATGTTGGAAAAATTATTTAGTTAGTAGTTGTCTACACAGATTACAATGAAAGATGAGTGATGTCATAATAAGTTATACTAACTGTATCTGCAACTTGGTTCACCTATACTTTTCTTCAATATTATTCTGTTTCAGAGAATTATTCTCTTCTAGTAACCAGAAATTTTTCTGACCTTTTTCCTGTCCCATCAGTAACAACATTTTATTGATTTCTAGTTCGTAAAATAAAAAACATTTTAATAGCTCTGATCCCAAAAATTTTACACAAACTCTAGCTTTAATAGTTACCCAAATATCACCGTCATTAGCTCATTACTGATAGCAACAAATATCAAAAAATAGTTAAATTTTTTTCCAATTGTCCCATCAGTAACGCGTGCAATCGCCCAGCTGTTTCCACCTATTTGAAATCTCTTTAGTATCGAACAACTTGTAGTGTCACACCCAAAGGAAAGGACTACCTGAGCTTATATACTCTTCATGTAAGTCAACAGAGGCGAGATTTAGGAACATCATGTGATCCACAACGCCTTTGCCGCGATCGGTACATACTATGCAACAAGGAATGCACGGCAAATTGTTTTAATTGTTTTAACATAGTGCTTAAGGTTGAAGTTACTCTTATTTTACAAACAATATATTTAGTAAACTGAACCTTACAGCGGGTTGGTTTCACTAAAGTTTTCTGGGTTAATTTAACCAATTTAAAAAAAAATAAAATAACTATCTGGTTTAGTACCGTCAAACTAATCTTTGTTTATATTTATCTTACCACAGTTGATTTAAATAAATAATTATGGGTCAACTGAATTAATATAGGTAGTTAAATTAACTATTCCTTTTTTTCTGTGTAAATGCACTTCTCAAATAATTTTAGATAAACACCGTTTTGGTGTTTGCTGTATGTAACATTTTCAACCTAATTCATAGTGTTTATATTAACACCACTTGGTGTTGGATTTATACACCATTTTAAGATTACAAGAGATATTTTAAACAGTGTAATTAAAAATAAATGGATTACTGTTCTGCGCATCAATGGTTCTCTTAAATTTATTTTTATTTATATTTGTTTCGGGTTTCTAAGGTTTTTCGAAGAAAATATATATGTTATATAATAATATTAATAATATTAATAAACAATTTTAACAGAAAACTTTTAAAATAAATGGCCTTCCCTTTATAATAATTGTAATAAAAAAACTACCAATAAAATTACTAGCGATCCTAATTCCCCAACATACTTTGGAAGATTTTTTAACTATTGGAGTCCGAATCAAGGACCGATTTCGGATGGTGAGGCTGTATTCTATGCTAGCGGTGTTTTTGTTACCAACATTTTTGCTGTGATAATCACTCATCCTGTCTACCTTTACACTTTGGAAATGGGAATGAAATTGCGAGTAGCTTCTTGTTCTTTAATATACAGAAAGGTTATCTCATATTTTGTCCCCATTCAATTTTAATAAATAAATAAATAAATTTTAGTCTTTACGCCTATCGATGGAGGCAGCTGCTCATTCCGCTAATGCTGTGAATCTTATGTCCAACGACGTGATGAGATTTGATAACTGCTTTATTTTTCTACATTATTTATGGATCGGACCTTTACAAGTGGCTTGTATTATTTATTTTGCCTACATGGAAATACAAATGGCTGCTTTTATTGGATTTGCAATGCTTGCGGTTATTTTACCATTTCAAAGTAAAATTATTCAAATTATAAAACATGAAGGTTATCATAATTTTTGCAGGTTTTTTTGGTTATTTAATGGCAAGGTTAAGGTTTATAATATCAGCAAAAACTGATGATAGAGTCAAGAAAATGAACGAAATTATACAATCGATAGAAGTAATTAAGATGTACGCATGGGAATTTGCCTTTGCAGAATTAATTCGTAGATTAAGAAAGTAAGACTTAAAAAGTTATTAATCTAAACTTAACTTTAGTTTTAAGAGCTTATATGTAGTATTATAATTATAATATAATTATAATTATTAGGTATAATATAGGGTTATTCCAAGTTATATCGAAGACAATAATGGAAAATGTTTACCACAACGTCTTGGATTTATCCCAAATTTTGTAAAATGGTTCCACCATAACACAGGCCAACAAAAAAAATGTTTTTCGCTAAATCCAAATATGAAATTGGTTTTTTTTTATCAGCTTTACTTTTTTGGATCTGTATTTTTTTACGTGCAGTTGTCGCCGTGCAGAGTAGATTTAAATTGGCACGGGTTAAATAATTTACCTGGTCAAAAAAAAAATTATTTAAAGAGATTAATAATTAGTAAAGTAACTTGTAGACTTTCTACAAGGTACTAATTATTAATTTCTTTAAATATTATTTTGAACTCATTAAGGATCCTGCCTTCGTAAATTCGATAATTAAGGCTGAGCGAAATCGCGCTTAAAACTGACTTTTTTTATTAGTAAACAATGCTGGTACTAATTAGAATATGGATTTTTGTTCGCCCCCAGCAACTGCAGGGCTTCACCCGTGTTTGCTGGGTGCGAATGTCCATTGAGTTCCGTACTGTCCCCTATTTGGGTCTCGAGAGACATGCGAATAGTTTTAATAGCCATTCTCGGGTTCGCCGAGCCGATGCTATACGCCCAGTAGGGTATAGAGGAGGAGGGACGGGAGGGATAGACGTTTGTTGGTTTTTGGGGGACAATTACGCCGACTTAAAACTAAGTACGACGCGGAATCCCCCTAGACCAGTCGATTAGTATTACTCCAAACATTTGGGATTACTATTTGGAGTTGGGGAGTTGTTATTTCGCTGCAGGGGTGTAGTTTCCTAGTTGAGTTCTTCGTCTTGTTCGTTATTGTCATTGCCCGTCTCCTCAGTCTTGATGCCGAAAACCATCAATAGATAGTTCAGTAGCTGGATATGTAACTTGCAGCTTTTGGTGTTTTTTTTAAATTGTTTATTGCCGCAGTAACGCTAAATTTCTAACAATTTTTTTTATTAGTTATTGTGTTGCCCAAGAACGTTTTGTGGTAGAGTTTTGTCTTTTTTTCTTAAATTCCAAAATTAAGTATTGCATTTATTTATTAGTTAAACAAATGACAAGCGCAATTATCCTGTTATCTAATGTTTACAAATCCAGTAGAGTTTGGTTATTATGCTTTTTTACTATGTTAGGGTTATAATGATTAATGTGTTAGTTTACGGCCATTTCAAGCGCGCGAAACGCACGAATTACAAAACTGTTTTAAAAACAGTGTTTTTATAAAAAAAATTGTAGATTATTTATTATATAATATTTTGGCATCAAAATTGGCAAAAATATTCTTCTTTTATTAGGTTATACATTAAATATAAAAAACTCAAGAAATATTTTATGAAAGTAGATATAATTTTAATAATTGAAAGGTGTGGACGGGACAAAAAAAGATTTATTTTGTCCCGTCCATCCCTGTCAATTATTGAAATTATATCTACTTTTATAAAATATTTCTTGAGATTTTTTTTATTTAATGTATACCCTTATAATAGAAGAATTTTTTTGACAATTTTGATGCAAAAATAATATACTGTAACGTTTTTAACTGTTCGTAGTGTGAATAAAAACACGCACTGGTTAATTAACGAACTAAACTATTTATTTAATAACTTAACTACACTTAAAACACTATAAAACTAACTAAACACTTAACTACTAATTATTTATATATCACTACTGTTCAAGAGTCTATTTATTTGCACTTATATTTATTTATTTCGACGCGAGTACTAAAACTTAACCGACTGCTCTGTGAAGCGCCGTTCCTTATATATTACAGCGCGTACGTCTTCTGGAACATTCCAGCGAGCTCCACACTCTCGATTATTCTAGCGCTGAGTCACCGGCGATGACTCATCGGCGATGAGTCATCATTCCGAGATCCAGAGCCGAACTCGCTACATTGCCCCCGTCTTAAAACATTTTCGTCCCGAAAATGGTCCTCAGCTCCATGGCGATATTTGCATAGAGATCCAAACTTGCATTGCGACGTCCTATAGAAGTAGCAGTCTACGGTCTTCCTTCCGGTTGTTCTTTTAGGGTTGTGGCAACAAACAAGAATGTGTATGCCACTAAATCTGAAGATAACCTCAACCATACTTCTAATTATTCTCCAGTCTAAACCGTCAAGTCCACAAGCAATTTTTGGTATCGCCAGGTTCATGATGTCCTTGGACAAAAGGGTATCCCTTAATTTATTTAAGGCATTCCATACGTCACGGTAGTTTGGCTTCTGATGGGAGAGCTGCTTCGTTACCAGATAGAAGATACTTCTATTGCCTATCTGCTCATTATTCACAATTTCAAGCACCTCTCCAACTTTGGGATTCTGCCTTCGTAGCTCGTCGATCCGTCCAAACTTGTTTTTAAAAACAACCGCTATTCCCCTGGACATCCTTAGGTCTTCCGCAACACAGTGAGCCAGGGAGTAATCGGCCGAAACCGTGAACAGATCTCTTTGCTCTTCTCGAGTGACACCATACCGAGCTTTTTTACCGCTCGAATATAAATACATGAAGTCTTCAAAAGGCAAGTCGTTTTCCGGCGGATTAACTCTCCTTACTCTAGCATCGTCTATTTGATCATTGTTTCCAGCGTAAGGGGCCAATCGGTTGAAATGGATCACTTTCGGCTTTCCTCTTGGTTGTTTCCTGATCCTGTAGATGATGTCATTTATTCGATCCATGACTTCGTACGGTCCCTCCCAAGAAGTCTGCAGCTTCGGTGAATAACCACGACGGCGCTGAGGGTTGTATAATCAAACTAGGTCTCCAGGTTGAAATCCTCCATTTTCCGCCTTGATGTCGTATGCCTCTTTCATTCTATCACTGGCACTCTGGATGTTTAAACGGACTCGGCTGTGAATGTCGCTCATTTTCCTACGTAAATTGTTGACGTAATCTTCTCCAGCAATATCATCCCCTGGTAGGCAACCAAATCTCAGGTCACAAGGTAGACGAAGTTCACGTCCCATAACAATGCTAGCGGGTGTCTGGCCGGTTGTATCGTGGATAGAAGAACGGTACGCCAACAGGAACAGATGAAGAAAGCGGTCCCAGTCTCTTTGGTGATCAGAGACTACCTTGGACAGGTACCGGTTTATCGTTCGATTCATTCGTTCTACCATTCCATCGGACTGCGGATGTAATGCAGTCGTCCTCGTCTTCCGAATGTTAAGAATCTTACAGACATTCTGGAACAATATAGATTCAAAGTTCCTGCCTTGGTCTGAATGCATCTCCATTGGCACACCAAAACGACAAATCCACTCCTTAATAAGGGCATCGGCCACTGTGGCAGCTTCCTGGTTTGGCAAGGCGTACGCTTCCGCCCACTTGCTGAAGTAGTCCATTACAACGATGATGTATTTATTTCCAGATTCTGTTTCCGGAAATGGACCCGCCACGTCGATTGCAATTCTCTCAAATGGGCTGCCCACATTGTACTGTCGCATTGGGGCTTTTGGGCGCTTCTGGGGTCCATTGCTTGCCGCGCAAACGGCGCACTTCTTGCACCATTCCTTCACATCCCGTTGGCTGTTGACCCAATAAAACCGTTCCCTAAGTCTTCCGAGCGTCCTGGTCACCCCAAGATGTCCTCCAGTAGTTCCATCATGGATTTCCTGCAGCACTTCTGGTATCCTGTTTCTGGGGATTATTATCTGCTTCCGGTCTTCCCCCCCTTCTGGCATCTCCAGAACGCGCTTTAGAAGCCCGTCACTTAAGATAATGGAATTCCATTGGGCCCAGTACGATTTCACATTCGGCGAATATTGGGCGACTTCCTGCCACGTTGGTTTACGGTCGTTCTTCTTCCAATCGATGATAAGCTTCAAATCCGGATCCCTTTCCTGGTCTTGTTGAACCTCAGCGGATTGCCAATGATCATCCACGATTGTAGTCCTCCGAACAAACACATCCTTTTCTTCTGCCCTGAGACAATGTTTACAGTCTTCCGGGCACGGTCTTCTTGACAAGGCGTCAGCATTTCTATGGATGGTCCCAGCCCGATGTTCTGTGTCAAAGTCGAACTCCTGTAGTCTCTCAATCCATCTTGCTACCTGTCCTTCAGGATTCTTGAATTGCAAAAGCCATTTTAGGGCAGCATGATCCGTTCTTAGCAAGAATTTGGTTGTCCCAGGGTTGTAAAAAATGATGGACAAACTACTACTAAGAAAAAAAACTAGTTTCTACCCCGTTACAGTTGTACTATCAAAATGCTGGGGGACTTCGCACGAAATTGGCAGAATTAAAAGTTGCAGTTAGTAGTACAAATTATGACATTATTGTTATTACTGAAAGTTGGCTGTGTGAGGAAATATTTTCTGAGGAATTGAGTTGTGGTAGTTATAATATATTTCGTGCTGATCGAAATGCTCAAGTTACATTAAAGAAAAGAGGGGGAGGTGTATTGATAATGGTAAGAAATCAAATCCAGGCATCAATTATTAAAAAAACTGCGACAAATTTTGAACAGTTGTACATTTTGTGTAGACATTCCGGAACAGATTTTATTGTGGGAGGGGTTTATATACCCCCTGGGGTATATGATGACTGTTATAGTGACCACTGTCTAGTGTTGGAGGAAATCTGTGTCACACATCCCAGCACTAAACTGTATATTGTTGGGGACTTTAATTTGCCGGGTGTGCAGTGGTCTAATGCGGTTAATGGCGTGGAAGTTGTATGTCCATCCAACTCACCAGCACTGTTTCTTGCACAAACGTATGGTTTTTTCAATATGTACCAAAAGTTCGAAGTACCAAACAGCAGAGGGGTGTTCCTGGATTTGCTTTTCACAAATGACAGTTCTGTAGATTGTGTTAAGTCACTGGACCCTTTATTTGGTGACTCTATTCATCATATATCGTATATCTGTAGCTTTAATGTGTTAA